ATAACTGAATTGTATAAAATATGACTAAGCCTTTCTCAAACGACAAAGTCAAAATCAATCCAAGACTACTATAGTTTTATCAGGTGTTCACTGTTAGGCTATACATGCATGTTGCAGCCAGTACAAACTTGGACGTAAGATCGGTGCACCGTTACGTCCCTAATGGTTTTTTTTTGAATGATAGGAATGTCCAGTTTGAAACAAATATTCAAATATTTCATCCGATATAATAATAGTAGATCTATTAGAAGGAAGAAACTTTGCTTCTATTTCATAATTGCTTATGATGAATAAAAGATTCATGCAGACGAAAGTTTTTAAAATCATTTATCGTTTTATATTCGCTATTCATTGACGGATAAGTTTTTACTTGATATTTTTATCGATTTCTTGGTGGTAAATGATTTTATGAATTCACTTTCTTACCAATTAGTTATGTTTGATTTTAGCAGACTCTGCAAGATAGGGTAGGGTAGCCTTGCACATCTCTATTATGAAAGAAATAACATATTTCAGATAGAAGATGTTTATCATCAGTATGTTTTTCATTGAAACAGGCAAAGTAATATTTTCTCTATATTATGTGAATTCTTATAAGTGTACGAGTTTTTATCAATTCGTTTCGATATTCTTTGCTCTATTTGTATTAATATGAAAAAGTATTGCTTTCTCCTATTTTATTTGATTAAACAAATAGATAATCTAGAAGATCAAAAATCTCAAAGAAAATTGGCAATTTTTGATGGTTTATTGTGTTTACTGTTTCTTTCAGCTGACTAAAAGAACCTTCGTCTTTCTAGACAATATATACCCTTTCGAGTATCCTATATGTATTGGACATATTTTCAGAATTAATATATGACTATAAAGTCAAGAAATCGGGAACAATGGAACATCTTCATTGAAACAACATGAAAACTTACATTTTATTTCACTCTTTTGAAAGAATGAGTTTTTGCAAAGAAAAAGTGGACAATCGCTTCTGTTTCCCAACTATAGTACATCCAATTGCTCTGAAACTTTTTTCTACTTATACTATGCTCTTAAAATTTTAATGTTTTTATTCGTACGAAAGGAGATAAAAAGAAACAGAAAAAAATTAGACAACTCATATAGTGTCTAGCATCTGTAAAATAGTTTTTAGCTCTGTCACAGGTATTGCGATTAAGAAAATAGGACGGTCTTTTGCTTTTTCGACTTCAATATCTCGTACGGGGAGTCATCCAAGAATTCCAAATCTACAACGACTTTTCTTCTACTTATTAAGATCTATCTACCATAAAAGTTTGAATATTTTCTGATGAGCCGTTCTCTGAAAGCGTCGGAATGGAGGGGAAGGGGGCTCCCTTAACACAAAAAAAACAGCTTGATCATTTACTTAACATTTATCACAGCAATTTTCTCAATAAAATTTTAATATTGATTTTTCTCTCACTGTATTTTTTCTACAAAGTTAATTATAATAGGTGGTATATAATAAACAAAACAAAGTGTTTTGTTCTTTTTAGAGCACTTCTCAATGCATTAGCGACTTCATTTTTGACTTATTCGATAGAGAATTTTCTACTCTACAAAACTACTGTCTTTGGTTTTCAAAAAACGTCTTTTTTTGGTCGGCGTAAAATTTAAAAAATAAAATTTAAAATATATTACAAAGTTCTCCAAAAATTCTGTTTTTTTTATATATGTTTCAGAATTCTAGAAGAAACATATGCAAGAAAAATTTTTGAAGTAAAAAATGTGAAAAAACAAGAAAAATCTTTTTCTGGCAGAATTACATCTTTGTTCTCTTTCAATTCAGCATAACCTGTTAGAATTCGCGCTCATGAAGAGCAATGAACACAGTTAAAGATGTACGTGTCTTCTTCTCTCCTATTTATTCTTTGAGAAAACAAACGTTTAAATACGAACGTGAAAAAACAAGGACAAAATAGAAAAGAACACAACGGTTAATCAAAATAAAATAAAATAAAAAAGATCGAGGTATATGTTATAAGAATGTACTGTAACGTAACCTAATATTCCTACTTTTCAATTTACCAATCATAGTATTTTGTTCAGAATTGCTATCCATGGATGCTAAATATTTTACTTTTAGCATCGGTCCTGATAAGTAAAGGTTCACAAAAATTGCAGTTAGACGATTGATCAGATGCTCATCTGTTAAATTTTGCATCAACAAAAAAAAAGTTACTTGGAAAACAAAAACAGTAGTTCTGTAGAGCAGAAAATTCTCTATCGAATGAGTCAAAAACGAAGTCTTTAATGCGTTGAGAAGTGCTGTAAAAAGAAGAAAATATTTTGTTCCATTTATTATGCACTACTAGTTACTTTTTTTTTATTCATTTCATCAGATGGGCAGCTCTTAATTCATATCAGTCAAAAATTTGGTCAGAGGTTCCCTGTGTTTTGACATATACATTGCCAACATTATTCAACAATTATACTAATTCAGATGATGTACAATATTATTTAACAACATGTCTTGAACCTTCCATATCATCTGATTATGTTAAATTAATTTCTAAATCATATCAATGTCAAGTAGATATGTTCAAAACGAATGCATCTCAAATATATACAACGATTGTAAAACTTGTATCTCAAAATAGAATTGATGACGCTGGATATTTTATGGATAATGTTCTTATCATTCATTTTAATTCAATATCTAATCTTGAAGAATTACTTCATATGTTAATTCATATATGTTCATTAGTTAATATTGAATCTCGAAGTCTTCTATGTAAAACTTTAATATCACCAATATCCTATGAATTGACAAATAAAAAATGTAATAAAAATTTAGCAAGAATTTTTTTTGATTTTGTTCTTGCAATACTTAATTTAAATATTATTGAAGCTCCTAAATATGCTGATCATATGTTATCTATAAATGATTTTTATCCATGGAAACAATTAGATAAACAAATAACTCATCTTATACAATCATGTATTAATTATGATAATATTATTAACGATGAATATTTTAGTGAACTTGATAATTTAAGAAAAATTTTAAGTTTAATTAATGAACGAAGTAAAATTCATGTAACAATATTACATGCAACACATGAATTCGCTTTACAAGCTGTTTTAAAATGGTCAACAATTATTAATAATGATACTGGTAAACCATATGATAAACATGTATTTGAAATGGGACAACCTATGACAGAATTAATTGATCGACGACAAATACCTGTCGATATATGTAGTAAATTTCTTGAAATACTTCGAAAACAAATTGATAATAATGATGAAATTTGTGATTTTAATTACTTTCATCATAATTTTTTCTTAGTAAGTTTATGTGTAAATAAAACATTCATCATTATCATTGTTATTTTCTTAGTCTGTTACTAAATTATTAGCTGAATGTATTGTACAATTGAAAAATTTACCATTGACATTACATCAACAAATAGCTTCATTTTGTTTAGTAGCATTTAATTGTCCATTTACTAATGAAGATGGATCAATGACATTATCACATTCAGCAGGTTTAGCTTTATGGTGTAGATTACCACAATATATTCATAATGAAGATGATGCATATCCTTATGAATCATGTGCTGATCGATTATATCAATTAGTATATAAGGAAGAAGAACAACAATTATATCAATGGTGGATTAATTTTTGGTGTATCATTGGTTTGAAATATCCAAATGTAGCTGTTAATCATATTCCACAATTTCTTGATGAAATCATCAATCGTAAACGATTAGATTTATTATCAACGGTTTCTGTAAGTAGAACCTGTCAAGTCCAAAATTTTCATATCCAATCGAACCGTACTTTGATAATCAAAATGAAATTTTCTAATCAAAATTAGATAGTTGCTCTGCGTCAGATTTAGAGATTTCAGACTCGAACCCAGTCATATCCGAGACCAACCCGACAGACCCTATCTGTAAATGTGATTATTCGTTTTGTGTAATGTTCTAATTGTTGAACTTCGTATGAATAGATTTTTAATGATTGACGAAAAACTTTTAATAATCTTGTTCGATTTTGAATTGTATTAGTTATTTTCTGCTTGTAAACTTTGGAGAATATATCGATCGAATCTTTGTAATAGATAATGAGCGCATAATAAAATGCAAAAAAAAACCAATATGAACTATGAGGAAAAAAGATTTAATCATAAAATTGAATTAATTGAGAAAATGATTTCCACAATTCTTTTATCATTACTAGAAAAATCAAGCTTCCGTTCCATATCATATCATGGTATTACGAGTGGAAGAAATATGAATCTATTAATCTGTAATAATGTTCAAATACATGTTTCCATACAAAGTAGCAGTTACAGAGTACATAGTGATCATGATCTCAGATGTCCACAAAAAATAAAAATGATTTCTAGAGATTATCGTTTATCATGAGTATTTGACGTCTGAAGAAATTTTTTTTTTATTCATAAACTATGCCTGACCAAGAGTAATCTAATAGCATCTGCGAAGCTTTGCTGGAAAAACTGAAATTATCTGCACACAATAAAAGCTCTGGGGTTTCTAATACGTCTTTTACATCGGTTGCCCTAGAAAAGTCACCGTGGATGAATGTTTAAATTGTTTGACACGTGTTGCAGGGTATTGTACTCAAACCTCAATACCACCAACCATTGAATGACCCTAGAAAAGTCACTAATGACTATTGTCTCAGATCACCAATTCGATAACATGTGGACTCCGATGTGACATACCACCTGGTAATGTGACTAGTAAGTTTGTGTGAGGAGTTCAAGCAATTGCGTACAACAATTCTATGTCAGATTGACTCTTTTGTCAAGAGCTACAGCTAGTATTAGTTGTAGGGAAGATATTGAGCTATCGAATCTGCCACTAGATAGCACCCTAAACCACAAGCTAGTCGAAAGACAGAGATATTCTTCTTTCTTCCTTCCTTCCCTTTAGAAGAAGCTTCTAATATTGGAGGATTTTCTATTTTGGAAAGTTGTTTAGTATACAGATTCTATTTCTGAAACATTTTTTTACTAATACCAGTGTTTGTTTCAAATCTCATAAATTCTGAAGATTGATCTTTCATTTGGAGATATATTTCTCATTCTCATTCTTTCTATTCGTCAATGAAACGAATCTAAAAATTTTTTAAATAAAATCCGGAAAACATAGCTTTTAAAGGCAACTTTTATATATTGGTGTTTATTAAACTATGTGAACTGTGTGTAGGCCCTATACAACAAACGTCCAGAACCATTTCACGCTCGACTCGATGATCTTATTCATGCTCTTTTCGATTGTAATGGTCAACATTTAACATCTCTATCTATTCTTTTCGATACTATTGTTAAAGTACATCCAGAATTAATAACGTCAAAACATATTGATTCTTTATTTACTTCAATTAAAAATCATATGAGTTCATTCGATCAAACAAATTATATTTTTCAAGCACTTGGTTATGTAGCTAATGCACAACCACATTTATTCGATAAATATCAAGAAGAACTTTTACATTTTGTTATTGAACAACATAGTTTATCAGCATTTAGTTGTCTACAACAATATTTAGTAACGTCAACAATTATTAAAGGTGAAAAAACAGCTGATGAAAATCTTACTTTATTAATTAATTTAATAAAAAATACAAAAAATATTTCTACTGATTTGAAATCACAAATATTTTATACATGTCAATTAATTGGAGTAAAATATAAAGAAATTCTTGCAACTAAACGTAATGATTTAATACCATTTGAATCTGATTCTGCTTGTCAAGTTTTAATTAATTTTATTGATGAAAATAAATTAAATGAAGAAAATCAAGCAGCTATTAATCATACTCTTGATGAAATAGCACAAATAGAAAAACGTGTTGTTCATACGGAACGTGATGTTCAAAATATAACAAAAGTAGTTAAACGTCAAGAATTAAATGTAAGATTTTCCATTTATTCATTTTATATTTTAAATAGTTTATAAAAAATTTCCGAGAATAAAAAAACAGACTAAAAAATTTAATCATTTTATTCCACATTATAGACTTTGGTCCGTTAGCATTCTATAAAAACGCATTTCTTCATTATCTGATCTTGGTCAAAATAATCCTCTTGCTAATGCTAATATTATTGATTATTTGGATCGAATTGAAAGACAATTAAATACTATATCTTTTGAGATACAAACAGTTCGAAATAATTTACAGCAAATTCGTCATTATTTTCTTCAATATCAATAAATAATCTTTGTTTTTTTTTCTCTAATAAATAGATTACCAATCTTAATACACGTGTTAACATATTTGATACACGTATAAATGATATAACTGAACAAGTTGAATATCATACTCGAGAAATAGAACGTATCGATATGAAAACATTAAGTTATGTACCATCTGAATGGGGTCGTGATGTATGTACACTTCTTAATATTCGTGCAGATAATGATTGGCGTTTACTTGGTAAACGTTTTGGTTATTCAACAAGTGAATTAAAACATTGGTCTATGCAAATGGATCCATCAATGTCTTTACTTAATGAATGGTTTATGACACATAAAACTGATGAAGCAACATATGGACTTTTAAAAATCTTAAATGACATAGGTCGACAAGATGTTGAAGAAATCATTCGTAAAGCTCTTACAAAAGCTGGTGAACTTATACCAGATGATATATCAATTGAAATTAAACGTCTTCCACCAATTTTTCTTTCTTATCAATGGAGTTCACAAAAAGCTGTTTTAAAATTAAAAACAAATCTTGAACAAGCGGGCTATTCTTGTTGGATGGATACAGGACAAATGGGTGGTGGTGATAAATTATTTGCTAAAATTGATGCTGGTATTCGGGGTGCTAAAGTTGTTATTTGTTGTATGAATAAAACTTATGCACAATCAGATAATTGTTCACGTGAAGTTCATTTAACAATAAGTACAGGCAAACCATTAATACCATTACAAATGGAAAAACAAACATGGCCACCTGAAGGTGCACTTGGACCAATAATGAGTGAATATTTATATATACGTTTTTATGATCGAAAAAATAATGATGAAAATTATTGGCCAACTGATAAATTTGCAGAATTACTTGGTCAAATACGTTATTATGTTGCACCTGATCCGGATATGATTACACAGCAATATTATAATTGGTTTGTACCACGTGTTGATAATTTAATTTTTCTTCAATCACAAACAACAAATGATAATAAAGATAAAATTATAATTAAAGATAATCTACCACTTGTTGTTACTCATCCACAAATAATGATTTCCTATCAATGGGATTATCAAAAAGACATTATTAATTTATATGAAAAATTAACAAAATTAGGTTATCGTTGTTGGCTTGATATATTTCAAATGGGTGGTGGTGATTCATTATTTGAAAAAATTGATGCTGGAATACGTCATGCAAAATGTATTCTATCTTGTGTAACACCAAAATATATAAAATCAATTAATTGTCGACGAGAAATAGCTTTAGCTGATGCTCTTCAAAAACCTATTGTACCATTACTGCTTGAAGAAATAAGTACATGGCCACCAGCTGGTCCAATGGCAATGATATTTGCTGAAAAACCTTATATTGATTTTCGATGTTCAACAAATGATAGTGAAATATGGATTGGAAAAGAATTTGAATTAGTACTTGCTCGATTAAAACAAATTATACCTGAAGTACAAACAGAAAAATCTCAAAGACATTTAATTGATATGCAACGACCAACAACAGCAATGAAACGACAAGAAAAAAAACCACAACGAATTAGAAGCACACCTGTTACACCACAAAGTCGAGCATGTTCTCTTATGTAGACATTTTGAGCTTTTCATATTGATACTGTTATGAATTTTGAAATAATATGAGTATATTTTTTAATTTTTTTTAACGATATAATTAAATAAAACATTACATTAAAAGCAAGAGAATGAAGACTTTTTAATATTTTTATGGAGATATATTCACCTTCCAGAAATTGAAAATTCAAGGAAACTAATTACGATTTAGCGTTTGAAGCATCCACAGAGAGATTAGATGTGCCAGTCTTTGTAAACTCATCAGTGAGGTTCTGTGTCACAGTGTTTTAAGCTTCCTCATGGTAGAATGTGTACTGTTGACATTATCAGGAAGATTTTTTTTAAAACTTGTATTCATTATGATATTCGATATACCGATACAAGTATTTTATTTCAAATTTTCTACTACTATCAAGTCTTTCTATAGAAATTATTTTCTCATATGAAACTAAAAGATAATGTTATATATTGTTCTCACCATTCTTGGTTTGTAGAAGATACAAATATTTATTGGGTTTCTTTTTGGTTATCATTTGCATATTACAAATGATCTCACACTGACAAGAGGACGTTCTCAACTGTTCAATTACTTTTTGTTTGAGACTATTGCCATTCAATTTGGACATGGTGAGTAGTGAAAAAGTCTGTTTTTTTAGTTTGATTTTTCGGTCTTCGTTCGTTGAGCTATGGGCATTTTATTCAATTTTTGTCCTATGAGTATAGAATAGCTGTGAACCTGGAGATGATCAAATTTTGATCTGAAATTTTCTCTACAGATAGGCGTTATAGTCACTGGAATCATCCCAATATTTGACTCAGAACGAACATATCCTTGCTACAATATTTACATTTTTAAGAAACGCCTGTTTTTGGGCTGTGTTTCAAAAGAAGGATATTTATATAATAAGTTCATATCTCAATACTGACACGTTTGTTCTAGCTCAAACGGACACTGCTATTTTTGTAAAAGTTGTCCAAATTCAATGAAACTTGAGTTGCTAGTAAACATAAGTGAGATACATTTATCATAAAATTTCCAGCTTCATATATCTTATTGAAGAAAAGTTATAGTAAAAATACGTCAGTATGAAATTTATGCGAAAAAAAGGAAAAAATCTTGTTTACTATGATTTTCAAAAGAGTCACCAAATGTGGGTGTGGGTGGATGTAAGAAAAGGATATACCAAGACAAACATCCACACTCTCACCCAGCTTCTTTCCTTGAATCTAGTTAATCCAGTTGAGTTACCCGAAGTACTTTTACACTTTGAACTTGTTTTAAAAAGAAAGGAAAACAATTTCAAGAATATCATTGAAGTACATGATCGTATGAAAGATTTTTCATGTAACATGTTTCAGAATGGCAAAAATAGCTATATTCAGTTTTATCTATTAAATGAATAAGAGGCATAAAGTTTTTCATGATATTGTAGTGGTTAAGTACATACAATTAATAAACAATATATACCGAATTGGGGTGTTGGTGGGGCGTAGATATCAGATTCTTCTCTCCGCACACCAGTACTTCTACCCAAAACTAGTGTAGAATTTGTTAAAAAGAACGAAAATATAGAGAAAAGAACTTGTTGAAACGATCAGCATTTCTCTATTATTTCAAACTAATGATACACAAATATTCTGATCAAATGCAAATCAATACTGAATTTTATTTGGATAAATATGTAACAGAGAAACAAACGTTTACATTACAATAAAAGAACAACATTAAAAAAATCAATACGGATCAATCGAGTTTGTCGGTGAAGAATCTATCAGTTCATAACGTTCATTCTTCTTGAATGATTTGTATGAACTCCTATCGCATTGACACGACGAGGCAGTAATATTTTCAAGCCTTTTAGACGCTGCAAGACTTCTCTTGTTGTTAAAACGTAGACGAATGGAATGACTAGATAAATCAGATGAGGCGTAAAATACAACCAGAGAACCAATATACTGGTAAGAAAATTTGGATCGAAGGTAAGACGCACTATTGCAAACGTAGACAAAGGAATTTGCGTGAATAAAAATACGCCTGCTATCGCCAACAGTTGAACGACCATTTTCCTTGTACGACGCCAGTTGAAAGCTCTATTTACTCGTCGTTTCTGTAAAATAACACGAATGAGTAAGGCTATGTTGAAAATAATGACAAGAGAGACCGGTAAAAGAACACTGCCTATCCAATCAAGTGTTCCCAGCAAGACATTCGACTGATAACAAGCTAAATTACATACAAATACAGTGAAGTTGAATGTATTCGTACATGAATTAATGAGAACGAGTATTCCATACCAAACGATGGCTAGAATGCAGCAAAATGCCATGGGAATATAATGAAAGCAAATTTTTCGACACCGTGTTCTCATTATTATTTGCGAATAAAAGATCAATACGAAGCGTTCGATACTTGCAAAAGCCATACCAATATCGTTGATAGCTTGTAAAGTGTAATTAAGAAAAATCCAATACAGACACAGTTGATCGGCATGAGGTTCCAATGATCCTCTGTAGAGAAAGCTCAACGTTATTGGTAATTCAAGAATTTGAAGAAGGAAACAGTTAACCAGAATCAAGAGCATGCTATGATTCTGAAGGCGACGCAATTCGCGTTCACGAAAAACACAATAGAATACGAAAATACAACAGAGCACAGAAGCTATCTGAAGAGTTTGTAGTATACAATATTTCACAAGGCGAGTTATCGGCGTTTCGAAAATGTCAGTTGTCAATGCATCGTCGGTTGAGTTACTCATGTTGGATTTCAGTCGAAGAAAATTTTCGCCGTTAGTTATCAGCTGTCAGTAAAGACGTGTGTGTGTGCGTGTGTGTGAAGCTCGCATATTTGAAGAAAGAAAAGAAAATTTTTTCCGTGTTTTATGTGAGAAGCTCTTAGTTAGACTTGAGCAGTGCTGTAATGAATCTAGAAAAAAAAATGCATCAAAGTAATATTGTCATGCCTACTTCGAAAAACGATAGAAAGTTGTCCACTTACATGACATTCAAGTATGAGATTTTCCTATGTATATAGACGATGCTAATTCATTATCCAGAATATTCTACTTCAACATGATTCATTTATATGGCACATAATGAGTTGTGCACTCGTATCTTTCTAATTATGCCAGGCTAAGAGTGGATGCAAATTGAGACGACAGAAATTAAGGAATGATGTCGCAGATGAAATCAATGCGAATCAGTTCAAGATAAAATTCATTTAGCCTCTGATCTCAATATAGAACCTCGAGAAAACGTCCATCAATGTTAACACTTAGTACTGTAGGAGTTAAAACTATTTTTCAAAAAGTTGATAGTTGAGAAAAATGACAAAAAGTTAAAATGGTTATAACTTGAGTTATAACTATCAACTATGGTTATAACTTTCAACTTCGTTAACTTTCTTAATGTTTTGAGCAGATTTAGAACGCATAATCCTAATTCCATCACTAAATTTTATCTTTTTAAAAAAAACTTCATAAGTTCTCTTCACAACATCCATTTGAGCTAATTTTTAATTTCCGGGATAGAATAAACATTTCTCTATCTTTTCATCGACTTTTTTCAAAAGTTAATTAATTCTTAATGAGTAGTAGTTGTTATAAAGACACCTACTTAAATTTTTTGTCCATTCTCTCCCTTTCCTAATTTGATCACTCCAGCTATTTTTGTTTCCTAATTCGGTCATTCAAGTCATTTTGTAAGGAGTGCTTGAGAAAAACATTGTTTCGACATGAAAAGTATCTTTAATATTAAAACAAATTACACCATTCGATTTGTCAGCTCAAAATCTATATTTTCATATAGTTATTATAATTCTTATGAGTAATTTTCATTATTTTTTTCTGATTACATTCGAAATGATGTTTGTGATCAAATTAGGTAGCTGATCTTAATCTGATCACTCAAGCTATTTTGAGTTCCTAATTTGATTACCTAATGTAAAATACAAGGGATTTCAATGAATGATCGAAAAAAAGATGTTCGCGCTACCCAAAAGTACGAAATTGCTAGTTGGTGCTGATACAAAAGTTGTAGTACAGACCAAACACTATCTATATACAAAATGTGAGCAGTATAACTTCTTTTTTATATGTTATCTTTCTTTTTCATTATGAAGTGCAGTATTCTTTACCTTATTTTTATCGAAATAAAGCAATATATGCGAAAGTTAATTTTAGTTTTGTGCCTAATATTGATTAATAATATATTAAAATGCTTCTCTGCCTCTGATTGTTACGATTGCATGGCCTAGAGTCGATCAATCTTCTAGTTTTCGGACCCTCTATATGTGCAATATTTTAAGTAACCAGTTATTCTAGTAATTGAGCTGTACTTATAAATTCCTTTTTTTTTTCAATGCAGTCGTTGTTTGTTTAGTATTTGACATTTTTTCTTCATAATGTCCGAAAAAGTGTCGGAAACAGTTGGTAATTGATCCTATTAATAGTATGCTTGACTCGAAATGAGCAGCTAAACTCTTTGATGTCTCGGCTAGTACTACTCAATCCATCGATAAGATCCATTTGTGGAAATCAAAATAGGTCGTCCATCTTACTTCAGTAGTACTGAAAAATCCTATTCTGTTGCTTCACTTCAACTCTTACCCAGCTTTGGTTTTCAAGTTACACGTGAAGCTACTTCAAAGTTGGTGAATGATTATTTCAAGTCATTGGACTTATCCAGTAATCCTGTTGAAAAAATGGCTTCATTCATTTACTAAACATCATGATGTTGATATGAAATGGAAAACGCAAAGTAATCTTGATCAAGCATTTGAAGAAACATTTACTGGACAAGCTCGTTCAAATTGGTTCGTAAAACCTGAAAATATGATGGCCAAATGTGACCATGAAGAACCTAGTAGGTCTTTAATTTATATGAAAATGGCTTTCCAAACCAAACGAAAGATTAATAGACTGTAAGAAATTGAAATCGACTATTTTTCTCTTAACAGGGGCATGGGTTATAGTTAAATCTAATGGTAGACATGTTTTTGAGGCAAATAGTGGTACAGGGAA